CTCCATTAAAATAAATATTTCTATACTGTAGAATTATTCTCCATATTTGTATATGTGTGAACATCAGGAAAAGGTAAATGACATATCATTCAAGTGATATCTGCTTATAAACAACAAAAGAATCTTCAAATCAACAGGAACTTTGAGATAATAAATGTTTATTGTTCTCAGCCAGTGGTTATGCAGCAATAGATAATGAACACAATCCGACTCCAGGCGTTTGATCCATTGTATCTAAAGAAAAAGGAATTCTGTGTTGGTGATACAGTCTTAAGCACAGTGGTTAACAAGCTCTGGGGGCGCCTGGGTGGCTCAGTCTTTTTTTTGGGGGGGGGATTCCAGCTTTTTAAATGTTTCCCCTTTGACACAAAACAAAGTAGAAGAAATAATACAAGATTAAAACTGCAAAAGTAGTTAATTGGTAGATCACATATACACAAAAAAAATCCAGAGAGCAAGACAGGCTTATCTACAGTGAGGAAAACACATGTAAAAATTAAGGTAGTTTGTAGTTTTCATATGAAACATTAAAAAAAAAAACAAATCAAACATATGCTACAATGGGTGCTATTGTTTACAGTCAGATTGAAGAAGAGAAAACACTTATTTAGGGACAGATATACCACAAGGTCCAGCAACAGTGCAATAAATTCACATTTTAGATTCTTCATAAAATCTACATTTCAATGCATTACTGTGCTTACATGGAAATAAGTAAATCTCTAAAATTAGATCACCTAATAAACATAGAAAAAATGATCTGAATCCTGAGAAAGAATCAATAGTGAACCACCTTTAAGACACAAAAGGGAAATTTAGAGCCAGACTGAGATAAAAGTTGTTATCAACATCATGTTCTAGACTAAGTCTGAAGGAACCTGGCATTACTGTAGTAAGCTGGGACCAGGTCTCCAGAAGAAATCATTTCTAATAATCCCTGGAGAAAAAGTTGATCCTGCAATACCCAAAGATTGAGATTAAATAAATTAAGCCAAAGTGGGTGAAACAGCAGAAACAACAAACACCTAATTTAGATTCCTAAGGGTTTCAGATATTGGGATGATCGCAAATGGAACATAAAATGACCACGTATAAACTGTCTAAACAAACAATGGGTGAAATCACAAAATCAGTAAACGACAAAATACTATCGAGAATGAGAAGATACAGAATCCTTTTCTGGTTGTGATGTATAACAATTTTCCCAACACTATAAATATCTAGAAAACATGTAAAATGTGTGAGTCAAGCACTTTCAGAAACAAGACAATAAGCAACACAAAACTGTGGTCCAAGGGAAAAGGAAACAAAGTGAGCCCTAGGATCTGCCTGGAAGCATTTTCCAAACTGTGGTGCAAGAGTATATTCCCCAGCCTGAACTCACTGACCTGCAGAGACACAGATCAGAATAAGGGAATGCTGAAGTACCTAGAATGAGGAATGTGTAAGACAGATAGCCAAAGAGAAGGTAAATATCTGAAGGAGGAACTCTAGGACCACACACAGGGTCCCCTTGAGTATGTTGCTAAATATTAAGTTGCACTTCTATTGGGGGAAACTCAATAAGCTGGGAGCTTTAAGGTGAACAGTCCTAGAGCTCAAACAGGTTATAGAAGTACTGACTGATAAAGATAAAATCCAATGACCCCAGGACCCTACAAGAATGCCAAGGAACTTAAGCTATGTCTTCTTCTCAGGCAATTTTTTCTTCAAGGGGCCAAATGAGAATCTCCCAAACTGATAAGGCTAATTGATCTGAACATCAGGAAAAGGTAAAGCTTCTGTATAAGAGGAGAGCACATGTAATAATACATCCACCATGGCCTGAGAAGATACTGTAACCAGGACTACAGATCCCTCATGGGCGAAGGTCTAAGTCATCTGGAGTTCTGCCATCTGGACCAACTGAGGTGCTGTTTAAGATGGAAGGGGATGCAAATGGAAAGTTGAGGAGTATCTGTCAGTTTAGGCTGCTATAATAAAATACCCTAGACTGGGTGGCTTAAACAACGGATATTTATTTCTAACAATTCTGGAGGCCAGAAGTTCAAGGTCAAGGTGCTGTTAGGTTTGGCAAGGTGCTGATGGTGACAGTCCTCTTCCTGGTTTGCAGACTGTGGGAGGCCACGGTAAGGCTTGAGACGAGAACCAAACCATGCCCTGACTTGTGCCTCCTTTAAAGGCTGAAGAGCCGAACAAAAGGCTTAGGTCGATAAAGTCGAGTAGCCCTGAGAAAGGGTCTGTGCTATGTGTTGTGCGCTCGCCTACGTGACTTCCCACACATTTGCTAGTCAGATAGAGACGATTTGTTTGGGGTCAGAAATTCTTGGCTGGTCCTTGCTGTCCTTGCACAGGCTACAGACTACACCACTGTAAGACTGTCCTGTGCTTGCATAAACTATGTCTTGAGTGGCCTTGAAGTCAGTACATCTGGAACTAGAGGGTCTGCTACTGGTGCTTGGGAAATAGATAATGGGAAAGCTTGAAGGATTTTCTGTGCATGTTGCAAACTCTTTAGTAATCAGCTAAAAATAGATACTTTCTTATGATTGTTTCTGTTAGCTATATAATGCCTTGCTGCCTTGAATAAAATTGGCACTATTGGACATCCTCCTTGGTGCTCCTCCTGCCCCCATCTCTTTGTCTCTTAATTTCTTTTCAGCATCCTCTTACCCTCTCGACCCTGGTCGATTTGTCACACCAGCCACAACAGCAGACAGCTACCTTCTTGCTAGGTTCTCACATGATCAGGGAAGAAAGAGAACATGACCAAAAGAGAAAAGAGAGAGAGAATGCCAGTGAGCTCTGATCTTTTCTTCTTCCATTATAAGGGCACTAACCTCTTCATGGGGCCCTACTCTCATTATTTTGATGTGGTTTTGGACTATAGGTGAGCTTCAGTGGGTTGGAGTCCAGAGCCAGTGACCAAGTAATAATTCTGGAGGCATCTTTGGTGCAAAATGGTGGTTTATTAAAGCATGGGGACAGGACCTGTGGGCAGAAAGAGCTGCTGCCCTGGAGCTGTGAGGGGTGGCTGATTATATACTATGTTGGGGGAGGTAAGGAAAAAGGGAGGTTTCAAGAAAGTACTTTCATATGTTAAATGGACCTACAAGATACCAGAGGCCTTGCAATTACAAGTTAAGGTTGTTTACCCCTCTAGCAATGCATTAACATGAAGATAGTTGGGAGATTCCCTGGAAGAACATTACACTCTGCCCACTTGAAGTATCTGCAGATGGGCTGCAAATTATAAAGACATGTAATTGTATTTGCATTCCCTTCTGGAAGCTACTGCTAAGGCTTTTGTAAGTAAACTGGGGGAGATTCCTGTTTTGCAGGATTGTGATCTCTACAAGTTGACTATTTGTTTTTCCTTTAGGGCAGCCGGGAAAGCCTGAGGAATGTCACATATATCCCATTGTGGGGTTGGGGGGTGGTTCAGCTTCCGCTTTGTCCTCAGTTTGCCTTCTGTTCCCTCATCAACCTCATCTAAACCTAATTATCTCCCAAAGACCCCACCTACAAATGCCATCATACTGGGGCTAGGGTGTCAACATATGAATTTGGGGGAGATGCAAACATTCAGTCCATAACAATGAGGGAGATGTGGAGTATCAGTTGTAGCCTCTCACTCTGCAGCTAAGTTGATTGTTGTGGTTCCTTTCGCTCCTGAATTTGTGTGGAAAAAAACATAAACTGGGGCACCTGGATGGCTCTTGGATTCTGCTCAGGTCGTGATATCTGGGTCCTGAGATCAAGCCTCCATAGCACTCTAGCTCAGCATGGAATCTGCTGGAGATTCTTTCCCTCTCCCACCCTTCTGCCCACCCCCTCAATGTATGTGTGGTCTCTTTCTCAAATAGATGAATAAATGTTTAAAAACAAAAACAAAAGCACACCAGAACCATGGAAACGCCGCTGCTTCTGAAGTGGGAGAGCAAGAGTCTTGTCTCAGGGAGTCGAAGAATGAATCTTGCAAAGGGGAGTGAGTAAAGCAATAGAGTTTTATTAAGTGAGGATATAGGAAAAGCTCTCAGGAGTGAGAGGGGTCCCAAGAGGGGTGCCATTGAGGGTTTTAAGGGTTGGTTTTTTTATTCAATGCTAACCAGGGAACTTAAATCCTTTTAACATCTCTATTGATAGCACCATTGAGTAAGGACTGTGATAACACCTTTAATGGCTTACTTCCTTTTTAGGGTCTTGTAATTCTTTGTTGGTCCAAAGTAGCTATTATAACAAGAGCCCACCTCTGACACCTAGGGTGGGGTGGACTGGTTTGTCACTTATCTCTGGTTTCCTTACATCTCTGCATTTTTTTATTTTTGTGAGCCTGAACCAGTAGCCTCCTACCTATCTCTCCCTACCTAGCCCAGCCTGCCCCTTATTCGCTTCTAACATACATGTGGAGATAGAGTAAAGCAGAATAAATTCTAAAAGTGGACATTCTGGGACGCCTGGGTGGCTCAGTCTTTTAAGCGTCTGCCTGTGGTTCAGGTTATGATCTTGGTGTCCTGGGATCGAGCCCCACCTTGGGCTCCCTGCTCAGCGTGGAGTCTGCTTTTCCCTCTCCCTCTGCCTCTATCCCCTGCTCATGTGCACTCTCTCTCTCAAATAAAAAATAATGTCTTTTAAAAAAATAAAAATGGACATTCTAATTCTAAAGTGGACATTGTACTTCACCACACGTCTACCAAAAAATTACTACTCCATGAGCTGTTGGATCACTGCTGCCTGGTAGAGTGCCTTGCTAGAAGTCTTTTCTACTTCCCAGGAGCACACTGCATCCAACATTTGTGGAAAGCAGACTATAAAGTCCTGGCTCAGTCTTAATAACTCAGAAGAACTCTAAAAGCCATCCAGAACTCTCTGTGGGATTGGCTGAAGCCTTTGCCATGGAAGAAGCAGAAGGCGACTTCTTTGTCTTTCTATCCTTTCCCTTCCCCTGCAGCTGGTAATTTTAAGAGCATGCCCAATCAACCTCCTGTGCTAAATCTCACCTGTATGTAGTCTGCTTCCCAGGGAGCATGATCTGCAACATTAAAACCTGAAAACAGACACACAAAAGTGAGACTCAACAAAGCAACAAATCCTTTCCTTGAAATGATTAAAGTGGTAAAAGAGATTTATTTATTTGACAGAGAGAGATCACAAGCAGGCAGAGAGGCAGCAGAGAAAGAGGGGGGAGTAGGCTCCCTGCTGAGCAGAGAGCCTGATGCGGGACTCCATCCCAGGACCTTGAGACCATGACCTGAGCTGAAGGCAGAAGCTTAACCCACTGAGCCACCCAGGCACCCCAGGAATAAATAATTTAAATTGTCTACAAAATTCCAGAAGAGAGAAAATGGTAGAACGTTTTCTGTAGGGGAGGAAAACTTTTCCCTTCTTCTCTTTAGAACCCCAGGTAGGCAAATGAGGCATTTCTGGCACCCTAAGGGGAAGCTGGTGGACTGATGCCTGGGACCTCAAAGGGGAGGAAAACAACTCATAGGAAGATGGGAGAAGAAATGATGGAGAGAAGTCTTTCTGGTGTTCAAAAAAAAAAAAAAATTGATCTTCAGTAATAATAGCTCTCTTCCTGGTACAGGCCCTCCATCTAATTTCTTTTAGGCAATTAAAGGGGAGGTAAAGGGCTCTTCTTGGAGTCTGATGGGCCTTGATTGTCTTCAGCTGCAAATAATCTGCATGCCAAAGTAGAATTTACCAGGGCAGCCTTCCCTGACCCCATCATTACCAACTCCTATTGAGTACAGTGTAACATTGATACAAATATCAGATGAGGTATGAGAAAAGAAAATAACAAGCTGATTAGAAGGATACATCCTAAATAAAACACAGGGAAATTTAATCAGCATAATTCAAAAACAATGACAGGATAGTTAACATTACAAAACCAATTATTGTAATTTATATTATAAAACAAAGAAATATCACTTAGTAGCCATATGAAAAGCAATTTATAAAATTTGGCAATTTGTCTGATGAAAACTTTTAGCTAAATAAGAGGAAACTTCCTTAACCTGACAAACAATAACTAACAATATCCTGCAGTAATAATGATTCCTAATGGGGAAGTGTTAGAAACATTTAATATTGTGAATATGGTAAAAATACATAAGTGTACCTCAAATCAATAAGGTAATAGGGGTCCTAATCACTGTAGAAATACAACAAAAAGGAATAAAAAACCAAAAGGGTTGATGAGAAAGAAAACATGTATCACACATTATAAAATTCTCTCTGTATATTTGTTGTATAATTGTCACAAATTATATAATTGCTCAGTCCTATTCCGTTACCTTTACCTCTATGGATCTGGAAACCTGTGTGTGAGCAGCTGGGCCTTGATCAGGGTGAGGCACAGGAGGCTCTCGACTTGTCCTAAAATGCACAGGGGCACCAAAAAAATTGGCAATTAGAGAAATAATATTTTAAGGTAACATTTTACAAATAAAAGTTAGTGAAAAAAATCTCTGGTGGACACATTATAAATAAAGATGGGCTATTGCTTGTTTCAGCATCCTGTGTTATCGAGGAGAAATAATTGTTTCTAATGAGCCCCTGGTTCCAACCAGAGCTGCAGATCTGTCACATGATCTGAGGTGGGCTAATGAGGGTTGACAATAGCACAGGGCCACATTGGGCAATGTAGGGCTTTGTATCTAGTTTTATATGTATATATAAATATATATATATTTATATATAAATATATATATATAAATATATATATATATTTAAATTGTAGAGCTTTCATTTGCTTTTTCTTACTGGTTTAACAAGTGGGATCTGGTACTATTTTGGATAAGCGAGTATCAGGGAGCACATTTTTTCTTTTGCCTGTCAAGCACAGGTATGTCTCAGCATGACACAAACGAAGAGTTAAATTCTTCTGGTCCCTGGGTTTTCCCAGTCCTGGTCTACCTCCATGGTCTGTTCTTTAAACCACAATGACTGAAGTTGAGGGGACTTCATTCCCTCCCCTCACTGTCACTCAGCAGTAGCTGCTGGGGTCTCCTTTCCCCAAACTTCTAAGTACAAAAGGGCTAACCCTAGGGGATTATGAACTAGGCTAAGATGTTTTATAGTACTTCAGATTTGTATTTATATCACTTTACTTCCTAATTATGTCCCTTTCCCTCTCATGGATGCTCATGTTTTCATGGTACTTTTCCCTTTTAACATCTTTAAATACTGAGGAAATTCGTGGAATAAGCTCATTCATTCTGACATATAAATAGTTGATATCAGCTAAGTGGGTTTTACATATTCTGTACAGAAAGAGTCTCTATTTTATAAACATCAAAGTTTTGCTAGCAAAATAAAACACTAAATATTAAATCTGGAGTATCAGCCAGTAGGTGAACAGTTAAACCTTTAATAAATTCCTATAGCATCTTAAAATTTTGTAACAGCTACCTTCTCTTGAACTCTGCATAAAGTTAATTTGAGAATATAACAAACTAAAAACACACAATGGCTTTTCCTAGAAGGCTGTAGAGGAGGAAACCGTTCTTCTCCCTCCTACCCAGTTAGGATCTCCGGTGAGGGTCTTGTAATTGAACTGACCAAAAACTGATTAACAAGTGAAAAACACAACTGTATTAGTGTGTGCATCCTGCTTACACGTGAGAACAGCCAGAGTTGAGTAACTCTAAGGCATGGCTAACTGGGCCTCCATAGCATTTTAACAAAAGAATAATACATTTTTAGAGAAGGGAGAAGACAAAAGAAAAGGACTTTAAGTTTCTAGGGATTCAAATTGTGAGAAGGCAAATGTATAAATAAGGAAAACCAGTGGTAGATAAGGGCTCATTTTAGGAAGGATTGTGATGGAGATTCCTCTGGTGCAGCCTTCAGGTGGATAAGGGGAGAGTTGTCTCTAACAGGGGTGTGGGGCTGACTCCGCCAGGAGAGCATGCAACTTTGGGCCTAGAGATTAGAAAGAAGAAAAGAAAGAAAGAGGGAAGAAGAGAGGAAGGAAGGAAGGAAAGACTAAATAAATAAATAAATTCTGGTTAATTCGTTTCTTCAGTAATGATAGAGTTGCCTCTGATAATTCTGTCTTTCCTGGTAGAGAGGGAAATGGAGGGCACCTTTGCAAGCTTATGTCCTGCCTTTGGGCATATAGTGCGAGAGCAGACAGCTTCACTTGTATGTACTTCCTCTCCATTGCCTTGTGCTCAAAATAAGGCTCATGCCAGTGTGGTGTACTCTGGGGTGGCATATTCAGCTACCCTACAAAGTCAAGTGTTTTATTTTTAAAAATAATGTATTTGGAGTGGACATTAAGAAGACTACTTCTAAGAAAATTACATTTTTGAAGTTTTAATTAAATCCAAAATAGGCAATGTGTGCCAATACTACAAAAGACTTCAAAAATCTCTTCATATGCCAAATGTTTCCCAGTTTGAACACAAAATTTATTCCCTCGTGAATGTCATGTTATACTCCCTAAAACCTGAACAACTGTCATTGAAAACTAGAAGGAACATAGAATGCTAGGTATTATACCCACATTTTATGAACAGCATAACAAAAAAGACTTAAGCGAACAAAATGAACATTTTTCCAGTAACCAAATCCCAAGAATTAGAATGACTGGATTTATAATTTAGCTAAGTCAGTCTCTTACTTGGTGACTTGCTGAAGGGACTTTGGACAGAGATAATAGCTAGCATTTTTTAAGCACTCCCCTTGTTCCAGGTATGATTCTAGGCTGTTAACAGGGGTTATCTCATTTACTCCTCACAAAAGTCCTGCTTAATCTCCTTTTGCATATTTTTCGTATGAGGATACTGAGATAACATAAAGATTATGGAACTTGCCCAAGTTCACAGAGCTAGTGTGTGGAGGGAAGCCAGTGAGATATGTACATTCAGCTGGGGAAGGGCTTGACACACCAGTCCTAACATACTAAAAAATCCTTTACTCACCATCACCAGCTCATAGTTAACAATTATTCTCCCCCAATTCATCAATATTTCATGACCTAGAAAGCAGAATTTTTATATCACACATAGCAATCTGTATCCCTTTAAAAATATTCAATATATGTCACAAACATCAGTAAAATGAGTACCTGAAATAATTATACAGACCCACTGCTCAGTCCCAAGAGATTCTATATTCCCTCCCTGTTCCAGCTTGGATGCTTTATCAGGCTACTTAAGTGTGAAGAAAAACCACCTGCTCCTCTTTTCAACAAACAAAACAAATAATAGGTAAAAAGCAAAGACAAAAACAAAACAGCTCATTAAGGCAACAACTGAACAAATAATAATATGCAATTTAAAACCAAAATTCTTTTTCAGTTCTTCCTTTTACTTTTACAAAAATATTCACTCAAACATCACGCTTCCTCACACAGGGCCAATTTTGTAAAATGCATTAAATAACGTGAGCATTGTCCATCATAATGAAATGAAACAAGCATCAAAGGCACAATATTCATAAAACACTGAGAATCTCGAGCCCATTGAAATTCAGGCTTCCGGCCAAACACAACAGCCTCACACATCAGGCAGCTTAAGGTGTATGATTTGAAACTGATAATGCATAATTTCCAAAGAGCTCTAGATAGGTAAACAGTGATGATGCAATGAGTTATTTGTGCCGAGTATTTATTTCTTTGCTGTCTGATTGCTCCAGCTCCCCAGAGATTAGGAGTCTTTCACCTGCTGTTGCTCAACTGCTAAGATCAGAGTCTGTAACACAGACAGAGCGCCTGTGTTCCCAGGGCCGCTGCCTCAGAGAGATAAGGCTGCACTGGAGAAGTGCTCAGATTTGCCTCCCTCGGAAAGAGCCTGAACGGCTATCAATAATAAATGTTATTTCTCAACTGTTATGTCAGACAACACTGCCTTGCATACACAGGTGAAATTTGATAAAAGGGAGTTATTTAAAATCACTTAAAATGGCTATAGCTTCATTATTTCTGGTCTTTGTGTTATTGTTCTTTTCTCCACGTCCTTCTTTCCCTCTCTCCCCAATCTCCTGCCGAAATGCAATGATTTAAGAGCCCAGTGGAGATATTGGATCACATTTCTTCACTAGCTCCTCGTCTTGAAGGTTTTTGGTGAGCTATTCCTGAGCCACCTTTGTCATTCTGCTGTCATTCAGGGCCTTACATCTCTACGTATGAGAACATTGCAAAAATCTACTACACCCATTCAGAAACATGTATTAGGCCTGGTTATGACCTTGCAATTAAAATGTCAACTTCCAGAAGTCCAAGAAAGATAGCTGTAATCCCTCGCATCGTAGAAATTTATACAGTTCTTAATTTTATCAAAAGACAAAGATCATTTTCCCTGAAAGCTCCCAAAATTGCAAATGCAAATTCCTCAGCCTTCTTCCCGCCACTGGAGAGTGGGAGAGTGAGATTGTGCCACTAAATAGTACTTCATATAATTTACCAGTTTGATCAGATATCATTATAAACTGTGTGTGTGTATGTGTGTGTGTGTGTGTGTGTGTATGTGTAACCCATAGAATGCACTTATAATCAGAGATCAATTATTGCTGAATGTTCCCAATGTATTCTCAATTCTTTCTCTCCTTATGGTTCCTTGAGTACTATGTTCAGTGACTAATTTTTTTTTCCCCACTCAGTCAAGGTACTGGGGATTCTTGGGTAATAAGTTGATAGATGACTTTCATCTGTATGCTTCTGTACTTTTGCATTTTATTAGGCACACTGGGCACAAATATACCTTACTATATAGAAACAATAGTCAGAAATACATTGTCACAGGATTTTTATTTTTTTTTAAAGATTTTATTTATTTATTTGACAGAGAGAGAAATCACAAGTAGGCAGAGAGGCAGGCAGAGAGAGGGGGGGAGGCAGGTTCCCTGCTGAGCAGAGAGCCCGAAGCAGGGCCTGAGCCGAGGGCAGAGGCTTTAACCCACTGAGCTACCCAGGTGCCCCTGTCACAGGATTTTTAAACAATGAACTTGTTAGGGGCTTCTGGGTGGCTCAGTTGATTAAGCATCTGCCTTTGGCTCAGGTCATGATCCCAAAGTCCTGGCACTGGAGCCCCATGTCAGGCTCCCTGCTCAGCAGGGAGCCTGCTTTTCCCTCTCCCTCTGCTGCTCCCCCCTGCTTGTGCTCACTTTCTCACTCTCTCTCTCAAATAAACAAAATCTTTAAAACAAAACAACAACAAAAACAATGAACTGATTAAATATGCATTGCCTGAGTTAATATTACATTTTTAAAATTTACATACTTTAATAAGTATTTCTCCCATTATTTCCTTAACTTCTCTTACAGTGGTAAAGCCCTATCTTTTATAGTTGACACAGCATTTTGATTCCCCCGTAAAGCCCAAAGTAAATTGGTTCTTACTAAAAACCAATCATTGCAGAAACAGTCAAAT